TTTAGTTTTTCTTAGGCATTTGGTTTAAATAACTCTTCCTAACTATTTTTTTCTTCATCTTGCTTTTACTTTTCTGATTTCCATGATTTTCCTTCTAGTCTACTAGATTTGACTTTGACCGCTTGATTGGTCTCAGATTTCAAGATAAGAGGTCCTTTGGGTCAGCAAGTTTTATCACTTGCTATTTCATTTCTTATTACTAGTTTTAGGGCCCATTCACACATTGTTTTTCTACTTTTAATCGTGTCTTCATCCTTCTTGATTTCAATTCCGAAGGAATAACAATTACAAGCTTCACTATGAGCAGCAATAGTATCAAGTTCTTTTAATTCAGGTAGGTATGTTTTTACTTTCACAAGTTCTTTTTTATTTGTCCTTCTGAACTTACTTACTTTGTTTAACCAATCTTCACAGGCGTGGTTTAGATCTATCTTTTCATTATTTTTTTTAACTACTGTCATTTTATTGCTATTATCCGAGCAGTCTTCATTTAATTCTCTGTTATCTTTTTTGAGTTCTTGTTTTGATAATTCTCTATCATTATTAACATTTGTATTATCTGGTTCATCTTTTCCTTCATCATCTTCAAGTAAAATGTTTCTAGTAGTATTTTTGACATTATCCTCACAAACTCTCATTTTTCTTCCTTGTCCATTCTTTCTAACAACGATTCTATTGTTTTAACAGAATCTTATTTTGATAGCTTCTTCTTGAAGAGACCATTTTCTCGCAATAGAATTGCATTCATCTTTTAACTCTTGAAGAAGTTTTTCTAGGTCAACTTCTACTCTATTCTGGTCTTCTGAAATGTCATAGTAGGTGTCGAGAACTTCAGATACCATTATTTTCTTATCTCTATTTCTTTTGAGCTCTTTTTTTTGAGGAGTTGGACTAGAGCAGATATTTATATACGAGGGTAAGTACACAATATTTACTTGTTCATTTTTGTACTTAATCTGGTTATTAAGTAGTTTCTTTTTTTCTGAATTATTTCTCGATAATTTTTCTATTACTACAAGTTCATCTATTAATCTATTTATTAAGCGTTCCTTCTTTATTAAATTTGTTTCTTTTTGTAGGACAATATACTTTTTTGAATAGTCTCAGGTCTTCATAGATTATTTTTAGTACGAGTTTATTTAATATGTTCTCTTCATGTCTGGGCTTAGTCTTTAGTAGGGTTCTATATCTCACTTGTTTTTGCTGACTGTTACTGTCATTTAATGTATTTCTCATATCTTACTTTATTATTTTTTCTTTTAATATAGTAATGTTTCGAGTTTACTGTTCCATCTCACAGTCACTACCAAATGAAACCAGGCAATGCAGCGAGTTAGTCGCTCAATAATCCAAATATTTGCATAACCTATAGTAGGCTTTACTAGAAAGAAGGCGTGTTAGATTTGGCAAGCTAGTTGGTTCTGTAAGTAGGTATCTCTAATATCTAAGTAGTTTCTATTCAATCTTTAACCTTAGCTATACTATACTACTTCGGACAAGCTGGACAAATTAACTACAGTTGTACCAAGTATGTTAGGTTAACAACTGGATAGGATAACGAATTTAGTAAGGGTCACGTGATCAAGGGTTTATAGAGAGACAAAGTTTATCACTATGCCACTTAGTAACAAACTTGTGTTAGATATTTTAGTGGTTAGAGGGTTTAGCGAATTATTATTATATTATTATAATTTATTAGGTTAGATTATTATTGTTTAAAGTGAAGTTGAGAACTTGGAAACTTTTTAACCTTCTCCCTCAACTAGGGCCATTTCGGCCTTTATTTATAATATTATTTTGGCCTCCCCACGAATGCCTTATTACATCTATTATTTCTTATTACATCTATTATTTAATAAAACCCTATATCTCTAATATATATAATGATGTTTAATAAATCTTATACTCGACACATAACCCCTCTGATCTGATTTCTATTATTTAAGATCTGATTATTGTTTCCAGTGATAATATGCAATAAATTGCAAATTTTGCAGATTTTGAATTTTTCATATGATTACTATCATGTTTTCGAGCTCCATGTTTATTCTTCGAGCTTACAATATACATAATTTTTACCTGGTCTTCTACTTTGGTGTAGGACTTTATTTTGTTTGTTTTATTTCTTTATCTGTTTGTTGTTTAGAAGTTATTTCTTGTTAGCAAGTTTTTTCTATTCAACTATATTATATGATATATAACCTTTGTATCTTTTATTATATATATAATTTTTTATTTATCCTTTTCACTATATGAAAAACTATAATCAGTTTGGTAGTAGTCTATTGTATAGGTGAAAAGTTATGATAGACTACAATATCCACTCAAGGATTTGTTATTATTTTTTCAATAGATTAAATAGTAATAATAAGGGAAAAAACTTACTGTAGCAAATCGTACATAGTGTTGACCTATGAAACATAAGGAAAAACACAAATTCCTTAATATCTTACGATCCACCAGTCCGAATTGGATGAAACACATACCATTGGAATCAGCTCACTGAGACAGTTCTAATGAACCAAGAATCATTGAAATCCAATAACTGGATCCTGAGATAATCAAGATCCAGCTTTTTATCATAATCTGTGCGATCTAATTGGCTGAATGACTACTGCGAGAGATGCATTACATGTAGCATATCTATTATCTATGGTTTTTGAGATACATTTACCACTTATCATATTTATATTACATATCATATTTATTATATATTTCATATATGTATTAGTTATAGTATATATTTTATTAGTGATAGTTATAGTATATATAGCTCATGTAATATATGTAGCCTGTTACATTTGTAATATTTTGTAAAGTATAAAAACGGCACATGTGGACCTTGATTTCATTA